CCCTGAAGATGATATTTTTTTAAACTCGGACGGCGATATTCGTGATCAGCACACTTTGCTCTATCAGAATATATCTATTTGAATTAAAAATAAAAATGCGTGGTAACTTTGAATTACGCGCGCCTTATCAAAGAATGTTTGGCTCTAGAGGATATATATAGTGTATTTAGACGAGATAAAACTGGACAGTGTATTACTCAAGACATATAAACAAGATAATGGTCTTTCTTACTTCATTAGATTCAGAATGCTTAGAACTCTTTAATTTCTTCTAAGAGACTGCTCTAGACGTATAAGTCTATTCACTTCTGATCATCTTTCGGCTCTTTTTAAAATAATCTTATAGAATTTTGAATGCGTATCAAGCAGGAGATATTTCATCATCCGAACTTGTGAACTGACTCAGTTCACAAGTTCAGATGATAGATTCTTACTCGTCTGAAGTGATTTATTTTTGGGCTGCTTCTGTTGAAGAACAACTCAACAAACTCTTTGCCAATTCTTTGAGATTAACACAGGCGGCCCATAAAGGCTGGAGATATCATTTTAATTATGCAAACTGGTATATTGTCATAGAACGACGCTCTTTTTGTCCTTAAAGCTTTTATAATTCTTCTTAATTCAAATACTGACGTTTCTTCGATTTCTATATTAATTACAGCAAGTTCTCTCAACGCTTCAATATATATTAAATGACATTAAGTGTCATGTAGTTCCGCAAGGTCAAAGAGGTATGACAAAATTAATTAAAATCATCTGTCAAAATATCAAGATGAAATGAGTATTTTGACCAAATGAATGGAAAGAGAAGCGAAGAGAATTGCTTGTTCTCTTTCCTTCTGAATGTGTCCTTATGTTCCACATACAGATTCTGCATGCCACATCAAGAAAACGACGGATTTACGCTCTACGATAGAACTCTAATAATTGTTCTAAAAGTTACGAAAGATTTGAGCGACAGATATATGTAGATATATTAGCCGACGTAGTATTTCTATTCAAAGCGATAGTTTCTTGTACTTGTCTTCACGCGTTGTGCAACACATTATTGGCAGTACTTAAACTGCTCATTCTTGATTGTTGTGAATAAGCACGAACTAGAAATGAGTCACTATGCTGTGCACTTTGATTAGGGTCCGGCGAGCGCTGCAGAGACATGGACGAAACGACGTGCGATTGTTGTTGCGAATAAGCCCGAATTAAAACTGGCTCAGAATATTGTCCGCTTGACGATTGTGTAGTTTGACGACGAGATGGGTAGCTAGGCGAAACAAGATTCAATCGATTCTGCAACCGGAATGATAAACTTTTTGATCGATTAACCTGATTAGGATAATTCAGAGTAACTGTAGATGGTGACAAAAGAGTGTTAGGCCACAAATAGCTTGATCTTGTTATGAGTGATGTGGAGTTCAGTTCAAATGGTGATAAAGAACCGGAGGCTAAAGAACCGGTTGACGAATATAAACGATCGTTTTGGCTATCGTTGATGTATTGTCTTCTGTAACACACATTTCTCGATTCATCTGCGCGCCTTTTGTTTGAATGACTACGTCGAAACAATGTCATATGAACAAGCGTTTATCTCTAGTTGGTATAATACCTACCGGTAGCGCGTATACAGCCAATAGAAACAAGAGCAACATATAGCTAGTAACGTGAGTAATGGTAACAATAAACCGAGCAGCAATGCCAAATTCAATCCATCATTTGAAGAGGCTAAAATATTACATTTTTGCCTAGCATTTTTGGGTAGTCAATGCCTTACCTTGAAATGTTGCCACTGTACTTGTCCTGAACTTATACATTTAAAATTTGAATATTTATATCCACAAGACTTACACACTTACTTGCTGGCAGTGGAAGTTGGACATAGGGAAGTGTCTCCAATATTTATCACAGAAAATGTTAAACAATACTGTGACGACTGCACGTTGTTACTAAAAAATATATCCAATGATTGAAGACGTATATCCAAGTTTATATATCACCTGTCTACAGCCACAGCACAGAGTACTTGAGAACCTACATCTGTGTTTAGCGGTATATATGTGATTGTTATGGACCAGATATTTGTACTGTTTTGAATTAGCGAACTTTTGGATACTCTAAAGAACGATACTGTTCCGATATCGGATATAGTTGTATTATTTCCACATAGATTTTCTGCAATTAGTTGCATCTGAAACGTTTGACCAACTTGAATACCGATACATGCATCCAGTTGAACTCCAGGATAGATTAATGGACGCATTGTACACGCTGGTGGAGAATAAACTTTTACTAGAAACTGTGTAGGAATGGAACTGAATGGTGTCGTTGACGAAGTGTTCCAAAAATCTTCAACCTAAACAAATAATTTTTGGTACTATTTATTTCAAATTACAAAATACTCCCTCACATTTTGTAAAGTTTTTTATAGATCGTTTTAAACAGCTGATGGCTTAGATTGGACAGGTCTTTTCGTGGAAGAAACGTTAACATATCAGGGTTAATTATATGATTTTAAAAGGATCTATGAAAATGAAGGTTAATTTTTCAAAACTTTTAAAATAATAAATCGATTTTTTTCATATGCGCAGAGAGCCTGAAATGCTTTTCTCATCTAAAAGGGATAACGTAGAGCCGTAGTCTTAAACACTTTAGGAGTGCCATTAGATTAGTATCTAGTGAGACAAAAATGAATAGATCCCTTATCAATCCGTTTTTAATAGGTGTTCATGCGTTTTTGTTTTGAAATTAGCACAAGGCTTAGCATGGACTCGTGCTTCATTCGCTTGAGTAATTACGACAAGTCATCGCACATCTGTTCTTGTACTCACAAAACGGCTAAAACGCGTAACTGTCACCCTCAACTGCAGTGGGTTGAGCGATATTTTTTCTCTCAGCCTTAAAAGCAGATTACTAGACGCAGTTTTTTGCGCTGATTACGAATATCAACTTTAAAACGAACGAAACGGTTTTTAAATCGAAAATTCAAATTTAAAATTTAGAAGCTTTTTTATTGCAATTTTCTGACCTACTTAGCTTTTTAAAAAGTTTCAAAAAGTATATCGGTGGATAAAGCATTAAATTCTCTACAAAATGCACTATTGACTTTGTCAAAACAATCTTGGAAAACGCATTTTACACAATAAACAAATTTTTTAGCCGAAAACATTCTAACTTACATCGCACCTAAAACATTGAAAGTAAAAGTTGTGCTTCACCCTCATTTTAAAGAAGACACCTTGAGTATATCTCTATTAACGAGCTAACATGTTTTTACGAAAAACTTTGGAGAAGTCTTGATTGCCAAAGATTGCTTCAGAACCCTACCTTTGTTAACGTTTTTTATCATTAAAACACGCATTCTGGTCTTAGCCGCTGATGACGAAAACCGCATACATCCATCCGTCTTCTATCCGATATGGTTCGAAAAGTTTCAGAATACCCTTTGTCTTGGAATAGATGGTAGAAAGCATCTCAGACGAAACTGATGGCTCACTCATCCGTTAAAAGAGTTACTGTTCTCAATATCCTTTACGCGTTTCGTTGCTTCGCCATTGGGACTTTTATACAGAGAAAATGCCCCAGAGGCTGAGTCAAAAGCTCTGATTTCTCGCAAGGTTGATTTGAGGAATGAGTTATAGTTATTAGGTCCAGTTATAACTACTACTTCTAAATGCGAATGATTTACCTGAATGGCAATTGCGTAAACAGCATTAACAACAGTGCCTGTTATAATCAATGTGCAATTTGACAGAAGCAGTGTACCATTAGGAACAGAATTTGGATAGCAAACATCGGCGCATTCGACGGTACCATTAGCAAACCGACATCGAACGTCATCATTATCAGAGTCTGCAGTAGGTATCGTAATATACTGAGTGATGCCGGCGGGAATATTTAGAGGAGATGACATCGTAGAAATTGGCGATGTGTTTATTTTTCCATCAGGCCGTTGGAGATTATCAATAGTGCACGAAATACTCCAATGTAGACCTGATCCAACAGCCAATGGTTGCCATGCGGAGCTTTGAAATGCAACGGTAAAGTCTGAGGATAGTGAGACGTTAACAGTATCTGTCTGACGTCCAACGGTTAAATCTAATGGAACACTGAAATCTGTACAATAGTTTGCAAGTGGAATAGAGCTATATCCAACGACTGTTGTACAACCGGATGTACAATTTAGAGCATAATTAGGATAGGCAGAAAAATTCAATGGTATCAGTGACGCTATCATTCCACTCGTGCACGATATGATCGAATAAGCCCAAACGTAGCTTTGAGTGATTATTACTGTCACAGGATCGCTCGTCACTGTATTG